AAACATGATGATCCACCTCCACACAACAAGCAAGTTTATGGTTCATACAAAAGTAAAATTTATTAAAATTAAACAGTAAAAACACTTTAAAATCATGAAGTGAACAGCCTAAACATTATAGGTCAGTCCAGTTTCCTAGAGAAAGTATATTCAAACGTAGGCTCCTCCACTGGGTGCGGAGGGTGGGGCAGAGTATTTGGCTGAGTATCCGCTGTCCTTACTCTTTGGGCACTGGCAGCAAAGAAGTGCACCTCCAATCAGCATAAGTCCTGATGCTCCCCAACCGATGAACAGCGCGGCTCCCAGCTCCCTCCTCTGAGCGTCGTTCATAATGGGGTTGTAGAAGTTTCTGATGACAGTGTTGGCAGACCAGGACACAGGGATCATGCACAGGATACTACTCACGATGAAGAACACACCTGCAGCAATGGCTACTTTACTCTTGGCCTCCTCATCTTCAATGCAGTTGGTGCATTTTCCCCCTGCAACGGCTAGCATGATTCCCATTAAGGCCACCAAGATGGAGATCACAACCAGGGCGCGGGCAGCTTGAAGGTCGAGGGGCAGAGCCAGCATGGAGTCGTAGACCTTGCACTGCATCTGGCCCGTGCTCTGCACCACGCAGTTCATCCACAGGCCCTCCCAATAGGTCTGCGCCGTGATAATGTTGTTTCCAATGAAAGCAGACACCTTCCACATGGGCAGGGCACAGATGATGATGTCTCCAAGAAAGCCGATGATTGCCAGGAAGATGGCCAACATCTGAAGACCTGCAGATGCCATGTTTTCTCTCTCGTCAAGCAGAAGCAAGAAGGAAATGTAGTTGTTAAAGATCTCACCTGCAGCTTTTATACCCACATGGTAGGCTGTGGTCTCTCCTGATTGGTTGTTCAAAATTGTTCAAATTGAAAACACCTGTGCTCATTAAGAGAGTGTCAGGCACCGATTGGAGGAAGTAGAAATTAATTATTATGTGAAGGAGGTTACAGTTGTATCAAATGTTTAGCCTTAAATACAAATATAAACTCAATCAATACATACTGAAATACCTCCACCAATTCCCAACAATGATTGAATCTCAAATATTGTATATTATTCTTTTCTCTTTATGTTTTATTTTCATTTGCAACCAAAGCATTTTTTAAAACATTGTTGAATGTCTCTGTCTCATTTCTGGATGTGACTTTTGTTTTGTAGTAGGCCTACATTAAATTATTTCACTGTCTGGCTTTCATCTACCATGAGAAGAAATAGAAAGATGTGTTTTCACATGAATTTTTAATGCAATCTGTCACCAAACTTTGAAATGTTTTCCTGATTTACATGTTGAGTGTCTATGAGGAACACTTTATTCATGATAGCTTGCTTATATTTCCTTTCGTCATTTACCAGTACAGCAATCAAGCTGAGTAATTCCAGCTGTGCTGATTAGTCTGTGAGCCTCAGCTGACCTGAGGGCTGTTCTTGTAAAAGCAAGTTGGATTGAGCCAGGCTTTCCTTTTACAAAGCCTTAAACTAGTGATGGCGAGATGAAGCCTTATGAAGCTTTGAAGCTTTGAAGCTTTCCAGCCAATTGGTTCGCAAAAGAGTTCATATCATGAGGCTTCATCGTGGGCTTCATTTTAACACAAACCCCCCTGTCTCATACCGAGTTCCCAATGAGTAAAGCCTTAGAATAACTCTAAACAACGAACATAAAATCATATTTTCATGTTAACAATATTGTTTTTATTCCAGTTTAATTATTGTGATTGAAAAGCCTAAGGAGGCTGGTAAACATTGCAAAGAGGGATTTGTATTCCTTAATAACATTCTTACACTTAACCATGTTGTAGCCTGAGAAAGGCTAAACCATATCAAAGAATACATTTATTAACTACATTATCTCATTTAGCTGTAGTTTTTATAAACAAAAGAAAAGACTTATGGACGAGTCGTTGAACCAGGGACCCTGCAATTGGGAGCTAACTGCTTTCCAGCTGAGCCACAGTCCACACACTGAATTTACCCGAAAACACTGCATAATATTTATTCCTGTATTTATTCATTTATTTATTTATTCATGTTTTTATTCCTACATTTATTTATGCTTTTATTTATTTATACTTATGACATGTTCCGACCTCTATATAAGTGAGGGTCTGAGCTCTCTTAATTCCATCGTGTCACCGGGCCCGGGTACAGGATATATATACAGTCTATGGGTAATATATGGTTCTTGTTGTTATATACATCCATGGGTGATATGAGCGTTGTGGTTCATGGTTCAACCGATCTGAATCGCTTCCTGAAGTAGTCACGTGGTATCGACAGGCAGCGAGGCTTCGTTTGTCATCGATGACGTCACTGGCCCAAAACGATACAAGCTTCACAAAAAGCTCGACACACGCTCCGAAGCCTCGGCGCAATACGTAACATCACTACCTTAAACACTACACTAATAAGAGATAATGTGTATCAGGACGGTGGTTATGAATGAGGTTATTTTCATAAGGCTATTTGCTCTTTTTCAAAAAGGGGGCTTTGGTGCATCGTTTGACTCCTTAACAAAGAAAAATAGACACTATAGTGATGGCGAGATGAAGCCTTATGAAGCTTTGAAGCTTTCCAGCCAATTGGTTTGCAAAAGGGTTCATCTCATGAGGCTTCATTTGAACACAAACCCCCAGGTTGGTCAAAGTGTGTAAAAAAATAACTGTGGAAATAAATACAGGAATAAATAAATACAAGAATAAATAAATGCAAAAATAAATACATAAATAAATAAATATGGACATAAATACAGGAATAAATAAATACATGTGGATATAAATACAGGAATAAATAAACACTAGAAAAAATAAACAAGTGTATAAATAAAAAAATATAAGTTAAGAATAAAACAGAACACAATGTATTTATACGTTTATTTTTACTAACATTAATATATGTATTAATTTCTGTGTCTGTGCGTGTTTCACACAATGTTGTTCTGCTTGGTAACCTTGTATTCTGTGGATACGACAACATTTATAACAATTGTACTTTCAATTGCTCTGAAAGTTGTGGATGTGTCTTTAGAACACCTTTGGACTTTCTGTTTCCTAATCGGTTTTTTCTATGGAGTATACCAGCACTGTGAAATGGACTTGGCAGCAAATCAGGGCTAAGGATGTAGACCTTTTTCAAAGTGGTATGTACTATTTAATGAACCTTCATCATTCATTTTTTATCAGTATACAGATACTCTGTAAAATGTTAATCTTTCCTGAAGCAGACAGGGAAAACATTAGAGGAGGGCCAGCTGCTCTGAAATGCTCTGTTGGAGCTAGCTGCCCTCCAGTCTTCCTGATTTCATTTTTTTTTTTTTTACTTTCTAACAATCTAGGTCGGCCAATCATAAATGGGATCAAGTGGGGGTGTTAGTACTGATCCTGGTGGCAGCTCCCACTACAATCCTACGTATAATAATTGGTTTATTTGCAAAGTACTGAAATAATTCTTGTTGTGTTCATTTGTGTGAAAAGTCTGTAACTTACAGTTGAAGGAGATACTCTGGTTTTGCTTGAACCGCAGCACACACCCTAAACAAAGAGGTAACTCTTAAAGCAAGTTGTCATAGACTCTAATTAATGTTTGCTAATAATGTTGAATCACTTTATGCACATCAAATGTTTAGTTGGTGAAGTTCATATGCTGAACTTGTAGACTAGAGTAGGTTAGTAAGGAAGTAGTGATGGCCTAATTTATCAATGACACTCATCAAGTCTACATATTATCTGCCTCAGGTGACCTGTAACATTTCAATAATTTAGTATCTTTGCTTGCTGATTTATTTCACATGGAGAGGACATTTGCAAAATTCCCCTCAGCATATGACATCCATTTCTAGGTTTTCAAAAATAAGTATTGTAATATAAATATGTATCTATAAATGTAACCCGGAGATAGACAATATCAAAAAGAACTGGAGAGGAAGAAACTCAAACTATATATTGAGAAATTGGAGTATGAGAAGAATGTATTGCAATACATTTTGCTTTATTTTTTTTTGACATTGTAAGATTGTAACTTTATTTCCCCCCTTGTCCACAGCAAAGGCAGACATTAATAAAAAGTGAACGATCTCCTGGAATTGTTTTTTGCATTGTGTTGCTTTAATTGTTCAGCTATTGTCTATCTTGTGGCTATGCCAGCTGGGTAATCAATGTTTCACCATTTCAGGTGCCACAAGTTGCACAAAAGAGGCTCTCTTTTCCTAAAGTTGCAATGTTGAGGATCATCATTATTAGAGTATATAGTATGTTTGAGCTTTTTACTGAAGGTTTTATATAAGCCTAATGTAAAATGCTGGCAATATCCACCTTAAAGAAATCTTCCTTCCCTCAAACATATTACCACTAGATGGCCTTCTGCTTGTGGTGCTTGACAAGAATAGCAATTGTTCAGAAATCAAGACTGATATAAATGTTTGAAAACGTACACAATGTCAGTTTGCAGTACATGGTCTTAAAATATATAATCTGACTGTTTATACTGTCCTAGTACGTTTGGTTTCATCCTAAACACATATTTAAATAAACACATCAACTTTTCTTCTGTTTACTCACTGAGTTTCTCAGTGTCTCAATATATTACTGGTTGGGAATCCCTGCATTAAAAAAGCTATAATATATTTTCCTTGTAGTAACAAAGAGAGTAAGCGCAAAACTCTTGATAAAAATAGCTTAACTAAAGTAAAGAAATTCCATGTTTTTAACTTTTCTAAAGTCTCCACAACGACAGATATTTACTGTAGCAAGCTTTTGAAAGAAAGCTTCTTTTCTTTCCCATAGCTGTGCTGGGGTACCAGAGGGCCTCTTTGTAGGAGAGAAACACGTCGGAACTCTGGCAGAATGATGGATCTTTATATTTGACCATTGAAGCCAAAGCCCACCCTGCAGAGGGGGCCACTCAGGGGCATTGGTAGGGAACATAAAACGTCCCTGCAGGGAGAAAGCTTTTAGTTGGCAGCCCAGTGAAGAACTGTAAGGAAGCAAAGAGAAGCAGAACCACCAAACAGAAATGGCATCTTTAGGGCTGCAGATTGTCGGCGTAGCTCTGGCTGTGCTGGGATGGATTGGAAACATACTGATCTGTATGCTGCCCCTGTGGAAGGTGTCAGCTTTCATTGGGAACAACATTGTGGTGGCTCAGACCATCTGGGAGGGCCTGTGGATGACCTGCGTTGTGCAGAGCACCGGTCAGATGCAGTGCAAGGTGTACGACTCCCTGCTGGCCCTGCCTCAGGACCTCCAGGCTGCTCGGGCTATGGTGGTCATCGCCATCCTGTCCTCTCTGTTCGGCCTGCTGCTCTCTGTGGTCGGAGGGAAATGCACCACCTGCGTTGGGGACAAGGTAGCAAAAGCCAGAGTTGCCATGACTGCAGGTTTTTTCTTCATCCTGAGTGGGGCTCTGTGCCTGGTGACCGTGTCTCTGCCTGCTAATACAGTCATCAAGGACTTCTACAACCCCATGGTTCCTGACTCCCTGAGGAGGGAGCTGGGAGCATGTCTGTATGTGGGCTGGGCGGCATCAGGACTTCTGCTGGTCGGCGGCTCTCTTCTCTGCTTTCAGTGCCCGGCAGGAGGAGGAGACCGCTACAACGGAGCCAAGTACTCTGCGCCTAAATCCACAACACCCGGGAAGGAATTTGTCTGAAATTCTGCGCTAAACAAGACGCACAACCTGACTTTACATACAGTACACACCTGTTGCTTATCGAGTTGTGATTTTCATTTTTACTAAAAAACAATTCGAACACACTGTGGCCTTTTGTTTCTGAAATGTTCAAGAGACTCTAAGGTATGTGCCATGTTATAGTAATGCAACATGAAGTTGAGCTTGATGCTTAATGCTTTTATATTTGATTGTTTTGTGTTATCATTTCAGTATTAATTCAGGGTAAGACTCTTCTGATGTTTTTATTCATGTTTTTTGCAAAATAAAATAAAAATGTCATGTGAATTGTTTTTCCTTCAGACAAACTGAATGTATGTATGATGTATGTACCATCTGGTGGAACACAATATTTATGTACTAAGCAAAGTATCGCAATATTTATTTTCTCATAAATATCAGATGGAAAAGTTGCACTGTTTAGATATTTAAAATAAAATTGTTAATAGTTACTTTGGAGTTTAAAGATTACACAAAACATATTGCATTGTTTAACCTATATAACAGTAAGGTTTAAGGACAGGTGATGTTGTACGCTGTACCGATTGTAAAGCCTCTTATTTGTTTTATTGGGCTAAATGCTGGGCTATAGAATTGACTTGACATAATTAAATGTTCAATACAGATCCATTTGATCAGCTAAAACATTGCTTTCCATTCTAGCATAAACAATCCGACATTTTGTTGATAAAACGTCCGTACTTTCCCCTACATGACAATTAAGATAGGGACTTTTACTTGCTAACTATTTTTTTAGCACTGATACTTTTCTGAATTCTTATTCCCCTGGCCTGATCTCATCTGAGTGGCTTGAATGGAAACGGACACAAGAGTGAGAAATTACAGCAGTGTATTGTGTTTCTTGTTGGACTGGTTTCAATTGAAAATGTCTGTAAACAAAAGGAAAACCGTTAAAGAGGTTTACTATATATCATCCTGACAATACTTGGCAGATGTGCTTTAACTGGGCAACGTGTAAATATCCATTCTTTGGAGATAAAGAGCAGTTCCTTAGCAACATGAATCTAAGCATACACAGCACATTGTTGTCTCTCGGTGGCAGTGTCATCCATTTTAGTCGAGACAAACACTGTAAATTACCGTCTCTGTACAAGAGCGGTGGATTAGGCCATGGCAAACATCTCAAGCAGATACAGTACATTCCCAGGAGGCTGTTCCCCTGAATTCCTGAATGCCTTGTCACGAGTGCTTTGAGAAGTTCAGTTTCAGTTTTATTGCTGTGTTTGGTGAAGGTGCAGAGAGAACATGAGATGGCAACGTTTGAACGAAGAGGCTTTATTTCTGACAATTGAAAGCAATTTCAAAAGTCCGTGATCCTTTTATCATTATACAATTACATCAGATCTGCTTCAACTGCACATTGTTCAGTATTAAAATCTGCGTATGATGTCAATTTTTCCAAAATGCTTTTCATTCACATTTTTCTCTGATCAGCAGTCTAAATAATAATCCATTTAGTCTCATACTTTATGTATAAAACAACTCCTTATAGTAGGTATTATATTCAGAGGAAAATATTATTGCAGAGAAATGTTACATCCTTAGATTCACAGTAGGGACATTTTTATTTGTGAAAGCATTGTCACGTAAAAAAGTATATTAGACACCATGTGTCAATTAACAAAAATAAAAACAAACAGACAAACTATAAAAGAAAATATACAGGACTTAACTGTGCTGTCTTTTGTGAATTAAATGCTCCACATTTTTAAGTGATTCAAATTCAGAGGAGGGTTTATTCTCTTATCAATCACATGTTCATGCCTATGTCAGCTTTTGCAACCACATTTATGAGAAATAAATCCTTCTGTACAACATTTTGTATAAAACATGTTTTTTTTAAAAATAAGAAAAAACCTCCCGACATTTCATGCTGCAGTTCCACTCTGAACACTCACACATAGTCCACGTTTGAAGATGCGGTTCTTGCAGGGGCGAACTTGGCAGGTATGTAGGGTCTGGTGCCTTCTCTTGGGGGGCAGTTATTGCAGAGCAGGCCCCCTCCCAGCAGCAGCAGCCCAGCGGAGCCCCAGCCGATATACAGAGCCGCCCCGAGCTCCCTCCTCTGAGCAGCCATCACCATGGGGTTATAAAAGTCCCTGATCACTGCGTGAGCTGACCACGACACCGGGATCATTATCAGAAATGCTGCTATTATGAAGATCACTCCGGACACAATGCAAGCTTTGGCTTTTGCCACCTCGTCCTCCATGCAGTTGGTGCACTTCCCTCCAACCACGGCCATGAGGATGCCAAACACCCCGACGATCACAGCGATGATCACCATGGCCCTGGCGGCCTGCAGGTCCTGAGGCAGAGCCAGCATGGAGTCGTACACCTTGCACTGCATCTGGCCCGTGCTCTGGACCACGCAGGTCATCCACAGGCCCTCCCAGATCACCTGGGCCGTGACGATGTTCGCCCCGACGAAAGCGGTGACTCTCCACATGGGCATGGCGCAGGTGATGATGGTGCCCATCCAGCCGATTAAGGCCAGCAGCACACCCATGATCTGGAGGCCTTGAGAAGCCATGATAACGCCACTGCAGCCAGGAATCAACTTTCTACACCTCTTACAGAAATGTCTCGGAGGTTGTACTAAAACTCAACAGGGGTTGTATTTGCTCTCTTATGCTCCTCTCTCACCCTGCTTGAGGAAGGGTTTGCTCTGCTCTGATGCTCTGAGGTCCAACTGTGAGAAGATAACTACTCCGTGGTTCCAACTTTCAGGGTGGAGTTTCGGTGTCCGCGGACAAAAGGGGAAAGCTGAGACTTGATATCCACAAACCTTGTTCTCTTTAGCTCCATTGTTCCCGCATACTAAGCTTTGTTACCCCAAGCAAGACTTTGAGACCGGGAACAATGGCCCCAGATCCCACCTGTGCTCACACACACACACACACACACACACACACACACACACACACACACACACACACACACACACACACTAAACAAAGACTAAACTTCAGAGTTTGGGTCAACATACTCAGCAAAAAAAAGACCAGGTAGTGAATATTTATAAAAAGAAGAGAAAGATTTATAAATCAATAATTCAATGTATCATTTAAACTACAGAGAGTTAACCCTTGACATGCTTTTTCATTTATATAACAAATAACATTGACTCAGATATAAAATGCTGTATTAAATCTAGTTATATGGGTATATAATATTATTAGTCAAGTATAGGACTTTAATCATATTGGTCAGGAAAGATTTTGGAGGGAGGAAATTAACTTTTGTGGAAGCGGAATATGACATTTCCTGGTATTTTAATATGTACTTTCTTGGCAGATTAAATATTGTTCCTACAGTTACTGTTTAAACCTCTGCCTGTAGGCTCACAGTTTGAACAAAGACCGGTTCTAACCACCTTGCCTCTTTTTTCTGCCACACCTAAACCTGAATTACAAGAAAGTCAGACAATAACTGCCCCTCAGACGTTATTTATTATTGTGTTTTTCATATTGACCTTGTTTTAATCGTATAGTTGTAATGATCAGGCATTTATTTGTCAATTCATGTATAAAAATTACAATTAATGTTAAAATCAGTGAATACAATATTTGTCAAAGGATTATTAATGATTAATGATTATTATATTGTTCAAGACAACTGGATGAATCATGTTGAACACAGCTGTTGTGTGAATGTAAACATAAAAAAGCAAGCACACTTAATCTTTGATTTGTAAACAAAATATTTATTTACAGTGTAACTAGCAGTTAAACAAATCTCATACACGTAGTCGTAAAAAAAAAAAGATACCCACATACAGCGTTTCAAATAAGATTATATCATTTTCATATATCTATGAAAAAGACTTACAAAATGACTAATATTCATATTAACAACCAAACATATACAAGTAATTGTGTGAACAATTCAAACTGAATTTCCTCTTTGGGTGTGGTTCCTTTCTCGCTGTTTATTTCCTTCTCTTATGTGGAATAAAACTCAGGAATACATTTGTATCTTAAGTAACATCCTGAAATACAGTATCAACACTCACAACCCAGTAGCACCACTGCATCTGTCCCAGTAAACATTGCTTCAGGAAGCGTTTACTGACTCCTAGCTCTGTTTCAGACATAGTCTTTGCTGGAGGCTGGTGCTGAGGCCTCAGATCTGGCAGCTTTGTACTTTGCAGTGTAGGATCCTTCGTCCTTAGGGGGGCAGTTGCCGCAGAGCAGCCCCCCTCCGATCAGCATCAGGGCGCCCGCCCCCCACCCGATGTAGAGCGCGGCGCCCAACTCTCTCTTCTGGGCGCTGACCAACAGGGGGTTGTAGAAGTTCTGGATGATGGTGTGGGCCGTCCAGCAGACAGGGATTAGGCAGAGGACCCCGGCTATGATGAACATAACTCCAGCTGCAATGCCCACCTTGGTCTTGGACGCCGGATCCTCCACACAGTTGGTGCATTGCCCCCCGGCTACGGAGAGCAGGATAGCCAGGACGCCCACCACGATGGAGATGATGGTCAGAGCCCGGGCGGCCTGTATGTCGGAGCTGAGAGCCAGCATGGAGTCGTACACCTTACACTGCATCTGGCCCGTGCTCTGGTGCACACAGCTCATCCAAATACCTTCCCATGAGGTCTGCGAGGTCACGATGTTGCTGCCGATAAAAGCAGTGACCTTCCACATGGGGATGGCGCACACGATGATGGCACCGATCCATCCCAGGATCCCTAGAGCTGCGCCCAGGATCTGTATCCCAGTAGACACCATGGTGGAGGGCTGATTTGTTGTTTCAGTTGCTTCAGATGAAACTCAGGACTCGAAAGGCCTCTCTGTAGTTCCTCCCTGGTAAGTGACGTAAGGCTGTGTGTTGTTTGTCCTCTTCTGTGGATGAGGCTCGTCTTCAGGCAGGTGAGTTTGGTAAATGTGAAAGGATACAGAGGAGAACAGGTACATATGTTCCTTTGTGAGAGAGAGGAGGGGCCATGGGGTTAGGCAGCTTTGTCATCAGGTCCACACCCCCAAACTCCACTTACCCATAACCTGTTTACCCTCCCCCAACCATCCTGTGTCATCATTAGTCTAACAAAAGAAAACATGTGACACTGCTTTGCGTATAGTGCCACAAGCCTGATAAAACACACCATTTAAATACAATCCAAGCTATGTGTTTTGCTTATCGCATCAGAATATCTATTTAGATCATCTTCCCTCCTAAATCCCCCTGCCCTCTTATCAGTTTCACCTTAATCAGCAGGGGGGCGGAGTAAGGTTCTGACGGACAGATGAGTCAAGTCTGTTTAAATGACAATAGATGACACTTCTGACGAAAGTTTCAGACGGACCAAATAAGGTCTTGTGCCTGGTATTTTCTCTGTATTACACCTTCTCAAACTATGGATGACATGCTGCTGGAATCTAAATAGATATCGGGAATGTCCTAATTTAACTGTGAAATCTTTTCAGTGAGGAAGATTAAACGTCAAGAAAGTAAACATTGTCATGTGCTTTTGACATTTTCAATATTTATTCAAGACCTTAATCTTTCCTAATATTAAACAAGCCTTAAGTATCTCAGCATGAACATAAAAAAGATATTGTGATTGATCAATCCTCGGTTACTCTCTTTGCGTCAAGTACCAACAATGTTTCTATCTTCAACACACCTCCAATGAAAATTGTGGATCACACTGTCTCCACATTATAACAGTTTTGTTTTAAAATAGGTATATATGTAATAAGCAGAATCATCTATGGGCTTCAGCATAACTAACCACACTTCGTCACACACTTGAAACTTTAAAACAACCTTTCTGTTGTTAGATGATTACAGAGTCTGTGAAATGTAGACCTGGGTCTTTATTATTTCGGATATACATTTCCAGAAGAAATGGAATTGAGTGGAAACAAAGCATGAAGAGCACACGGTGTGGAATACAAGCTGCGGTTGAGCTTTGAGCGCAGCTTTGTTCAGTCTGTGTGGGATCTGTGAGTCAGACTATAGGCTGATTGTAAGTATGGACACATAAAGTATTTTTTTGTTCAGAGAAGATCACAGGAAAAAAAGACATGTATGTGAATTGGTGTGGGCTGTGAGGGTAAGGGACGCATAGAGGAGTCAGTGTAAGTGCAAGTGCGGTGATATACGACGTATCTGACAGATCTGGATCCTGTGACTTTGTTGTAACTCTGACATGAAAGAAACAAGTTGAACTCTGTGAAGTTTGGCTCTTCTGTCTGTGATTCTCACTCTGCCCAAAGGGAGGCAGCAGCTTCTCTGTTTCCTCTCAGTTAGAGATAAACCTCCACAGGGAAACAGGTGTACACCAACCTCACACACTAAAACAAACAAACACACAGAGAAAGAAGAAGCTGGACTGATATCCAAATCATCAGATGTTGGGTTTAAATTATGTCAGTTTGGATTGAACTATACATTTATTTTCAAATGTCTTTGGCACAGAAACAGAAAACACAACTTGGTTTTGTTTGCACAAAGAGAAGGAAATGTCTCAATGGTTGTGAAAGTGTGGAAAAACCCAGTTCTCAAAGAGAATTTAACTGCAGTTTTTATGTGTCCACAAATCCCTAAGCAGCCATTAAATCCAAGGCTCCATTCTTACAAAGGACTTATTACTTAGTAACTGAGAGTCCGTTTATAGAGTAGCCTATGCCACCGACCAGTGACCCAAGAACGCCTGCCAGTAAAAATGCACAACTTCCTTTGAAGTATGCAGTTTGAAATGTGAGACTGGGGTTAGGTTGATAGACATCTAAATTAGAAATACATATAAAGTCCATGGAGAGAAGTATAATTTTGACAAAGAAAAAATATTTTGGTGCCGAAATTGTTCAACGATATAAAATTATATTTATTTTTTGTTTCAGTATGTAAACATGAGGTGTAACATGTTTATGAGGTCCTTTCAGGCCAACAGTTTCTATTACATTATACTACCACTAACTCATCTTGATAAACAGACCACTCACTGCTTGTTATCTTTAATGGGATCGAACAAGAGGCATTTCAGTTTGGGAGTTTTTCCCAAGTTTCATTCTAGCCAACTGTGACCATTGTGATCACAATCTTGCTCCTTTGACAAACATACAATGTTTCAATATGACAAAACATGTTTTATCGCACCGTTTGTTAAATCAGGAATTACACAGTAAACAAACATGCTTTGACGGAAGTGTTATTTTGGAAAAATGTGTAGTTTTATGGTCCTTGGTCTTGGAATGACCTTCAATCACGCCTTAAACTGAGGGCACTTGTCTCTATATCATGTTTTAAATTGAAGTTGTCTGAAGTCCTCACCACCAGCTGCTCTTGCAGTAACAGGTAGTGTACTTTTCTTACTGTCCTAATGTGCTCAATGTAGTGACTGCTTTTTCGTCTTTTGTTTTCTTAGTTATGTTCTCTGTATTTTATATGTTTGTGTTATGTGTTATGTGTAACGTTGCTGCCTTCTTGGCCAGGTCAGCATTGAAAATGAGATTTTATCTCAATGTTTTTATCTGGTTAAATAAAGGTTAAATAAATAAATAAAATAAAAAGTTGAGGTATACAGGAGAGTTACATAAGCTATCAACAATTAAGAGAAGTCCACAGTGTCTTCTGCATAATGAATTGCAGCGCAGAGACAGATATTGTTACAGCTTCGGAGACTGCAGTTTCAGGACCGCAGTCCTGGGACTGCACTCCAAGGACCCTAGTTTTTTGTGACACTGCCAC